ATAGAAGGATATTGAGTATGTATTTTGGGGGAAAAGTTAAAGGGAAAAAGTCAGAGGAGGCTTTCACAGACAGTTTGGAGACAAGAGTGGAAAGGTTCACAATTCAGATGGGCTCACTTGTGCCAGACCTCAAGAACTTACTAAAGTCAAGAGGTTTTAAAGAAGTGATCTTACACAGGATAGTAGATATCCAAGCCCTTACAGGCACCTCTGATAGAGGGCAAACTCATATTTTTGCCAAGGCCTTCCATGTAAGTAGAGACAAATTATGTTTTGTAGTCCATGCTCATGGAATTATTTTCCCAAGCACAGTCTGTTTAACTGGGAGTATTCTGGCTTTTACTTACTCTCTATTATACTTCATAAAGGTGTTTCAAGTCTCAGACTTAAATAATTAATACTTATGACTTAGACTTAAACTGCTTAGGTGGAACACCCTCCAGATAACTCTGGAACATCTCCCAGAACAGGGGCTGATGTGGTGACCAACCATGCCACACCTGTGATTGGAACCATTTGCTATGCATGCCTTTGTTCCCTGCTCCCAGTTCCTTTGTCTTTTGACATGAGTCTCTCCGTGTCTTGAAGCTATGTGACAGACTGAACAAAATAAAAGATGTCTGGGCTCAGGATAGGGTTCAACAGGAAGAGTGCCTGCCAAGCCAGTGGAAGCCCTGAGTTATAATACATTCCCACCAAATAAACAAACATTTAATTAATTAAAGTCAGTCTTTCCACAGTGTGAAAATGTTTGCTGAGACCAGTAGCATCCACTATAAAATTTCCACAGTATGAAAATGTTTCCTGGTCAGTTTGAGGGGTTGAAATCCCAAGAGTCTTTCTGATAGATGGATATTTCCTTAGGTCTTCCTGAGGGGTGGATTTTGAATAACAAAAAAAAAATCTTAGATGGGTTGCTCAGAAAGATTTGGCACTAAGGATATCATTTAGAGGGAACTCCCTCCTACATTTCTGTATCTGTTTCTTAAAGATGTGTGTTGCCATGCCCAGCAATGGATGTTGTTTCAAGGTGATTCTATTTTCTATTGTCTCTAAAAGATGTTTGTGTTGTGATGCATGCACTTTTCTGGCTATCCTTGCATCTGTGCTTCTTCAGTCCCCGACCTGCCTATCCTAGGCTACCTCCTGTCACTAGATCGAGACAAATCACAACAGGTGGTTCTCAGTAACCCTTGTTGTGGTAGTGATATTAGAGTACATTTGCCACTTCTTTAAGTTTTGGTTGTAGAAATTTCAACAGTGATGACATGGGGAAGTAGATTATTCTCCAAGGCAGTACCTGTGCAAAATTTTTAAACTTCAAAGTGGAAAATCCCTCCCACCAAGGAACCAGTATCAAAAGTTGAAGAAATATTTCTGAATATCCTTGGGACATCCTGGCAGTTTTTGTAGGTCATACTAATAAATTTGTAGATTCTGCTAAAGCCAGCCACAAGGACATTTTAGCTTTCAAACTTGACTACTCTCTGCCATCAGCCTTTCTTACTGACACTTTAGTTTTCTGGCCTTTGTTCTTATGGATTTCTGGTTAAGGAAGTAAATGCTTATCTGAAGGGCCTCATTTGCCTCCAGTTCAGAAACAATGCATGTATATTTATCATGGACAATGTATTATGCATTGTGGAGGCTGGAAATGTTGATATTAAGTTTCTAATCTTTTTTCTGTGTTTGGTGGTATATCCTTTTTAATCCTGATATGCAGAAATCTAAAGTATTTGACTCAATTTTGGTCATAATGATGGACATGTATTACCCTCACTGCCCCTTCCCTTCAAGAAATTGGAGAGCAGCCTATCAAAGGCTATGAGTACTACGGAGGGTCAGCTGGATCACACCTCTGCCCCAGGAGTAAATTTTCACCATAGTTTGTCCATTTACCACAGTGCAGCTCCCTGGGCACTCTATTTTCCTTGCTGCCTTAAGAAAATTGCTACCTTCGTGAGTGGCCTAAAGCTGTTTGTGATCATTCAGTTACATAAAGAATATGCCTTTAAGTATACTTATCTCTTTTTAATCCCCTATTTGTATCAGGACATCTAAAGTGTAAATATGATATTCAGAGAACTAATGAAATCTATGTCAATTTTAGATGTCCTGTTTCAGTGTGCAGTTATTTCTCTTATATTAATCAAGTCAGAAGAGAAGTAGTGAGTTAAATAAACTTAGGGTGAAAATATATTCCTTTTCAAATGAATAAAATGAAACATGTAATTCATTTCTATGTCAGCAAATGTATACCCAACTCATTTATGAAATCATAAACTATTTTTAAGGAATTAATAATTTCAAGTAATAGCACAAATTAGCCTTTCTCCTCATTTCCTCAGGTCTCCCTAACTGCTCTATGCCTGCTAAAATATTTACAAACTCAGTGTAAGAGAATGGACAAAGCATTACCAAAATAATGTGCAAGCACCTTTTAATCCCACAGTAAAATTTACTAGAGAACCCATGTAAAAAGGCACACACTCAGTTACAGACCAAATATGAGAGTAGTCTCACCTTCTCTTTTATTGGATAATAAAGAGGATGGAATCATGGATGCTGTGATGAGACTGTATTGGCTAAGAAGCAGGAAGTCTCTGATGAGGACTAATGAAGAATTTAGGAATCCTGATGGCTGAGAACCATGGCTTGTCTGTTGATATGGAATCATATTTCAGATTAGAGAGCTAATACTAACAAATGCCTGTGATAAAGCAGGATCTTCCTGACATGATACCTGGGACCCTCAGCCTTAGCCTGTCCATCTAAGCCAAAATGAACTCCAACCCAGCACATAGGACGTTTTGATGACATGAAGAAAAATTTTGGGGTTTTTTTGGCATACTGTGGTTTGAACTTGTGGCCTCAGGAAGTAATTATCCAGGCTGGATTCAAACTGTAATCACCCTGATCAATGCCTCCTGTGTACCTACTGTTAATGGGAAAAAAGGCATGTTGGAATAAAATATGTGCAGAGATAGATGAGGAGATAGAGATATTAGACTGTTGAAAGAAGTACAGGGATGGCTCAACACATGCTTTATTGGGAGAAGAATTCTTTGGAGGCAGACCCCAGCAAGAGGGTAGGAGCCCACAACTCCTTGTAGACTAGGGACAGCTGGTTGGAGAAGTTCAAGAAAGAAGGGAGTCCCAGGGCAAACTCACAGAAAGGTCACTGAAAAGGAATATCCTCCATCAGCTCTCTGCCACTCCTGAGATAATTGGGTCTTTCTAAGAGGTTGGGTGGGAAATTTCTAGTAATTGGGTAAAGGTGAATGTTTGTTATTCTTTAGGGTTGGGTGTAGAGTTTTCAGTAAGCCAACTGTGATGAGGAAGGGCCCAATCCTCATGTGGCTGCCCTATACTCACCCTAACAATTAGAATTGCGGATTGCAGCATCTAGCTCACACTATCAGAGTGTGACGAGTTTTCCAGGAATGACCATCTCCATCTCTACTGACCACAATAAAAGCTTCAATTCTCAGGACCCCCAGTGGAATATTCCTACTTGAGTCTCCCCACCCACCTTCTAGAGGGTCCACCTTTGTGTTTTTTTTTCTTTGCTTTGCATTACATAAACAAACCTGCCCAACTCTCATATCACATCAGTAGGACTACCTGTGTTCAGTTGCCCACTGCTTCTCAAGTAAAACTTTTGTTTATCCTATTTTCTTTTCTTGATGAATTCTTTTAACAAGATGTGGATTCAAATATCTCTATCACACTCCTCATATGCCCTTTATCTTGTGTAGAAGTGCAACCTCCATATTGCTCTTAGCACTTTCTGATAGCATTTTAATTAAGCCTTTTTCTTAAAGAAAATAATTTAGCTACCTTTGTTCTCCTATGTTTGGTGTTTGCTTATCAAAGGTAAGGGGTAGTTTCTGTGTGATTGTGTTTACTCTGCGTTGTCCTGGTTCTCAGATATGTTTACAATTCGCTACTTCCAGCAACACAGTGTAAACTACATAACAAAATCCACTTTACAAAGTATATTAGGTAGACTAAATGCCTTAAGGCATTTGAATTAATTGGAAAAATAACAAAATCCTCAGACTTGGGCAACAACAGCTCACACCTTAAGTCTAGCTGGTGAAGAGGAACAATCAGGAGGATTAGGTTTGGAAGCTTCTTTGGGCAAATACTTTGAAGGACCATATCTTAAAAATACACAAAGGCTGCTGGGTTGGCTAATATGGTACACTGTCTGAGCAGCTAGCAAAAAGTTCTGAGTTCAAATACCAGGGCCAGCAAAAAAAAGAAAAGAAACAAAAACTCATCCTTTTTTCTTGCAATAAAGCCCAAATATGTAGTTCCTTTCAGAGAAGAAATAGGTTCAAATTGTAATTCCAACAGAAAGATTATGGACTAAAGTTTACACAGGTCTACACAGGACTAATCTTGAAAAAAGAATGAAAACAAAGGAAGAAAATGTGAGAGAAAGAAGAATATAAAGGGAGCTATATTCTAATATTAATAAGCAATCTTGAAACAATATTCTTAAATATATTATATAATAATAGAGACTAACAAATAGATCTCAGTGGAAAACAAATAAGACTTCAATGTATTTAAATGTAAAGAGAAAATTGATTCTTGACAGAACAGGTATCATAAAATGGTGGCTAAAACAACCAACACCTTAAAATGAGAAAAGGAAAAATCCAGGATATACTTGAAAGAATGCTTTATATTCTCATCTATGCAAATTGCAGTGGGCAACAAGAAAGATACAATCTTATAAAGTTTCTCTGCAGTGAGTTCATATTTGCTAATGTCACTGGAAATTGCTCATATCCAAAGCTTTTCCCTCTAGTCTAAGTACATACATGTCTTTTAAGGGTAGTGGGCATGTGAACACGTTCCTGACAATGGTTACACCTATAAGGTTTGTCTTCAGTGTAAGTTCTTTCATGGCTCAAAGGTGACCGAAAAAAGTGAACACATTCTCATATTGCATATATTTATAAAGTTTCACTTGTGTGTGAGTTCTTCTATGTCTCTGATGGTGACTGGAACGAGTAAAGGCATTGAGTGAAGGCTTTCCCATATTTCTTACATCCATAGGGTTTCTCTCCAGTGTGAGTTCTTTCATGAATATGAAGGGTACTGGAAAAAGTGTAGGCTTTCCCACATTGCTTACATGCATAGGGTTTCTCTCCAGTGTGAGTTCTTTCATGAATTCGAAGGTAACTGGCTGTAGAATAGGCTTTCCCACATTGTTTACACACATTGTGTCTTTCTCCAGTGTGAGTTCTTTCATGCCTTTGAAGATAACTGGCTTGAATAAAGGCTTTCCCACAATGCTTACATCCATATGGTTTTTCTCCACTGTGAGTTCTTTCATGAATACGAAGGTTAAATACACGATTGAAAAATTTCCCACATTTGTTACATCTATAGGGTTTCTCTACAGTGTGAGTTCTTTCATGATTGCGAAGGGTACTAGAAAAAGTGTAGGTTTTCCCACATTGCTTACATTCATAGGGTTTCTCTCCAGTATGAGTTCTTTCATGATTACGAAGGGTAGTTGAATCACTATAGGCTTTCCCACATTGCTTACATCCATAGGGTTTTTCTCCAGTGTGAATTCTTTCATGTCTTTGAAGGTGATTGGGTTGATTAAAGGCTTTCCCACATTTCTTACATCCATAGGGTTTCTCTCCAGTGTGAGTTCGTTCATGAATACGAAGGGTACTGGATAAAGTGTAGGCTTTCCCACATTGCTTGCATGCATAGGGTTTCTCTCCAGTGTGAGTTCTTTCATGAATACGAAGGGCACGGGAAAAATTGTAGGCTTCCCCACATTGCTTACATTGATAAGGTTTCTCTCCAGTGTGAGTTCTTTCATGAATACGAAGGTTACTGGAAAAAGTGTAGGCTTTCCCACATTGCTTACATCCATAGGGTTTCTCTCCAGTGTGAGTTCTTTCATGAATACGAAGGGTACTTGAATCAGTGTAGGCTTTCCCACATTGCTTACATTCATAGGGTTTTCCTCCAGTGTGAGTTCTTTCATGTCTTTGAAGGTGACTGGCTTGATTAAAGACTTTCCCACATTGCTTACATCCGTAGGGTTTCTCTCCCGTGTGAGTTCTTTCGTGATAACGAAGGTAACATGCATGAGTAAACACTTTCCCACATTGCTTACATCCAAAGGGTTTCTCTCCAGTGTGAGTTCTTTCATGAATATGAAGGTTACTGGAATGAGTGTAGGCTTTCCCCCATTGTTTGCATCCATAGGGTTTCTCACTAATGTGAGAAGTTTCATGAATGTGAAAGGTACCAGATGGAGTGAAGACTTTTCCACCTTGTTTCCATCCATGAGATTTCAGCACATTGTGTATCCTTTCATGGATTAGAAGAGCCTTGCCATCAGTGAAGTTTTTCCCATAAGCATCACATATATTGCTTTTACATGATGCTGTTCTAAGAAGAGATTCCTTGCTTACAATGTTCTCTGGAGTCTGTTGAAAGGGTTCTCCATGTTGAATACAATGTTTATGCTCATGCAGTCTCTCAAATATTTCAGTTCTGTAAAACAAAGATTACCGTTGTTATCCTATTATTTATTTATTTATTTGGAGAAGTTATGGTGTTTGTTACTGTAAGGATTTATGAACACAAATGTACTACATGTTCTGCAGTAGGACTGAGGAAAGCTATTACCAAAACAGTGGTGTTCATTATGTGTTTCCATCACACTATTTCCATGTTAGGTGTTTGACAACTCTGAATAAATTTTACTACATTGAAATACACTTAAAGTGCTTTTTGAGATGCCTTGGATCAAAAGCATGTTGGATTGTAAAATAAAAGAAGGAACCAGTCTATTCCAGCATGCAAAATAATCCCATTGTGATGGAATTTGATATAATATAGTTAAATTAGTTTGTGCACAGAGTGGGATTAATTTGTCACAGGACAGTGTCTCTTGTGACTTCTTATGACAAAACATTATGAAAAATGGTACATATCAAACTTTGAATTTTCTGATTGTGGATGTGTAAATTATTTTTCCAATCTTAGATAAACTTTTCACTGATTTTAGCAATTTATAAGTACAAGTTTTAGTTTCATTTTCTTGATTTTCAGACTTCTTCTCAATGGCACATCTGATACTCACTGTTTTGGTGAATATGAATTACCTCATATTTCTTCTGGGATTCCCGAAGTCCTCTTCAATATTTTCATTCTCTTCTTTTGTTTGTAAAATATAGACACATAGAAAACATTAGTATTTAATTAGCTATTTTCATGATATAATATGGTCATGCATGTACATGAATCATTATTGTCCTTTTTTAAATAGCCCATGAGGCAAAAGCACCACTCAGTCACAACAGTAGGGCACACTTTGATTAAGGTAATGATGCCATATTTACCTATGTAAGACAGGTTGCTGTAGGTTTCACGCATCACTTCTAGGTAGAGGTTCATTTGGGAAGGATCCAAACAGCCCCATTCTTCCAGTGTGAAGCTCACAGCAACATCCTCAAAGGTCAGGGGCTCCTAATATGTCACACACACATTTATGAGAAGAATGGTGAGTGTCATGACAGTGCAAACAGACAATCTCTGTGTAATAAATTCACATGATGATGTGGTCTCCCCATAATCAATGCATTTTATTTTTATCACACTCTCATTCTCCATTTATACTCATAAGCACATCATAGTAATTCTAACATATCACTGGACCTATTTGCTGAATTCAAAGCAGAACATGGTCACAGAAATTACATGTTATACACTGAGGTTTTACCAATCTACTAACAAATTCCTTCTTCTTAGTTCCCATTTGAGTAATATCAGGTGCAAATAGACTGCAGCAATAATGTTTTTACTGCATGAGTAAAAGTTTCTTGTCTACAGATATTGTAGAACTGCTAATGGAATGAACCTCACCAAACTAAATACAAACCATAAAAAGGGGAGAGTGTCCTGAAGCAATTTATTCCAACAATATCCTATTGTATATATACTATTTATGATTATTTACACATTTATGCAAGGTTCAACAGAGAGAGAGCCTGCAATGCACTCATGGTCATGAATACAAAGTAGATATGACAAATAGTATTTAATATCTCTTTCCAAAACAATTTTTTTTTTTTTGGAAATGAGCACCACCTTGGTGACTGTATTGAGAGAACATTTGGAAGCTTCTACCTGGTTTAGAACAGACCAACCAAAATTTAAACCTAAATAAGACTCATGAAGGATTACTCACATAAAGTTACAGTTTTTGCTTTAGCAAGAAAAAAACATAATGCAGAAAGGAGAAATTTGGCATGTGTCCCTGGAAATAGATGGATTTCAACTAGCTGTATACGATATTGCAGTTTCTAAACTATACCTTAAAACTCATAAATGAAACTACGTTAAAAGTGTAATCAGTGTCATAAATTGCAAACAGCAATTAAAAATAATTGGAATAAGAAAGTGATCCCTTGAAGCACTTGTGGAGGCCTAACCTTGTAATTCCAACAGAAGGACAACAACTTTGGAAACATTGGGAAATACAAAAGATAAAATCTGAATGCTTTTGTAGTCATGGTGTCACATGCCTGTCATCTGCACTGAAAGCAGAACAACAGGAACAGTGAACTGCATACACTAATGAATGAGAACATGATTGAGAAATGCAACATAAGACACCATGTATGAATCATGATCTATGTCCTAAATTTTAGAATTAGCTGAGAAAAATAAGTGTTCAAAATCCAAATACTTCAGGAAAGTTTAGTGTTTGAATGGGGTGGAAATTGATACAATCTCCACTTTAACTATAATTATGAAATAGAGTCCTGAAATTGTTTCTAATACCAACAGGACACGTTATGAATGGTAATCAGAAGTATTTTTCACATCCTGGAGAAGACATCCAGAAAAGACCCAAAAACCATGACCACTGTAACAAAAGTAAAATTAGTGTAGTTCAATATCACACAGAATTCAGTTTGTGATATATATTCAAAGACAGCATCAAGAAGACTTCTACATGGAAAAGGTCTAAGACTTTTTCTAATTCCAAAGGGTCAAAAACAGAATAACACTGTTTAATGGATAACATGGGAAAAGTAGGGAAAGGATTAAGGTGGTATCCATCTACTGAAGTAATGTGAGTACAGACCCTTTTTATTCACATCTACCAGGACATCTGGATACCTCCTATGCATGCATGTGCAGATCTTTCCATGTATTTCAGAATTATCCTCAGATTATTTCACTGAGTATATTCCTATGTCTTTTGTCTGTTGTGGTACATCAGCGTGAAAATCAACAATTTATGCATCTGGTCATTTAATCAAGTTCCAAAGGTCTTAAGAGTTGTGGTTATCCGTATGCCAGAAACTAACACAAAAACCAAATAGTAAAAATTTTACTAAATACCCACATCTCTCAAAAGCACAAAAGCATTCCAGTAGCAGGAAGAATCTAATGTTGTCTTTCTGTTAGATTCTCCCTCTCAGATTTTTCTCAGTTTGTACAAAACAGTGCAAAGAAAACCAAATGCTTGTGAAGCAAAAATTTTAAAGTGTTCTGTTCTTCATCAAGTTATGCTCATTGGTGCCCACCCTGATTCAGTAGAAAAGCCCTCTTTACTGTCAACTTGATAACAGAATTATCACAGGGAATAATTTCCTGGCACTGAAAGTTGATTTAACCACCTGTCATGGGTTCTATACTTTTACATTACTATTTGGGAAAAATTCATTGTGTTCATAAAAAAAATTTTTTTTGGTTGTTAATGAATTCTGTAACACTTGCATCCAGTTGGCTGAAGAGCATTTTGAATTATCTATCATCACTTTCTGCATTTTTCTCCTTCTTTTTTATTGTTTGGTTGTACAATTATGTTTGCAAAGCAGATTCCCTACTGCTTGAGCTACACTTCTAGTCTTTTTGCTCTAGATATTTTTGCAGATGTGAGCTGATGAAATATTTGAAATTCACCAAAAACACTGAAATATAAAAATAATTGAGTCCTTGAGAAAAGAAATCAATAGCATGGTGGTAGTCAATTTCTGAGCATGAGCAAAGTCACAGATTCTATACCAAGCAGTGAAAGAAACTAAACTTAAACAAAATGATACAAACAAAAAAGAAATGAACAAAACAAATTCAAGTGTTAATTAAACATAAAAATAGGATTGCCTGTATTATTTTTATTGGTTTTTTCCTAGTGTTACCTTCCTATTTTGAACCAACTAATCAATAACTTTCCAAAAATGGGTATTTCAATTTCCAAATTAAAAGATGATTATGAGACACAATACAAAAGGAAGAACTTATTGGACCTGGTGCCTCACACTTGTCATCCTAACTACTTGGGAGGCTGAAGTTAGCAGGATCATAGTTTGAGGCCACCCTGTGCATCTGGGATGGTAGCATGTATCACTTCACTAGCATATATTCTGAAGCCACTTAAAGGGGCACAGGATAAAAACCAAAGTTGTTCCTATTCATCAAGGTATTCTACGAGTTTTAGTAATTTTGTGATAGAATTTGTGATAAAGACCAAACACAGTTTTTTAAACATGTCACCCCAAAAAATAACCTCTCAAGAAACTCCTTTCTTTCAACTGGAGATCCTAATGGTCTCTGACTTTCCCTAGGTCCATCATAGCTTCCACAACTGTCACAAATAACATTGGGACTAGACAAATTCTGTGAATGAAAATGCAACCAACTGAAAACTTACCCAAGCAAAGTAATCTTGGTAACACTAGTGGTTAAGATCAATACACCACCGTCCTTCATGTTCCCATTATACTTAGATGCACAACAAGTGAAGCACACACTTCTGATTCTTCCATGTCCCACCTCAAACTCATCAATTTACTCGATCAGCTGAAAAAGGATCCTAACTATACAAACTAACCCAATGAAATTCTCTGCTCTTTCCAACCAGTTTCTGCCTCACCCTCAGCCTGAGGCACAATATCAACGTGTCCTTCAATGTCACATAAAACAGTCTCAAGGCTAAGGATCTCTTATCCAGGAGCTAATTTGGGTCCCTTGTTTACCCATAACCTCTCAGGTTCTTTTCACTACTTTTTGCTCCTCTTTACCACTCTTGAAAAAACAGCCCTTCTTTGCCTTGTCTTGAGGCACAAGCATACCCTGCTGTTGGGGTTGTCCAGCCACTGAAATCATAAGCTCATGTTTTGCCTCAATCTTCATATCATTTTTTGAAAATGCTGTCTAGAAACTGATGAAAGAGAACATCAATTATATTCACAAGCCTTTGATAAGTTTCCAATCTCAACCACCCCATTTGAAACCCAACAGCAAGTGCACCACCATTGCAGTGAGTTATGCAATGCAGGCTCTCTGTAAATTTACATATTTACTAAAACCATAAAGCCCATGTCTGGGATCTGGTTGTGCATTCTTGACCCTACTTCCACATTTTTACATAATTCAGGACCATCAATTTTACCCTAAGCAGATTGGAAGGAGTGCGAACAACAAGAATCAGCTTCTGCTACTGAGAAACTACTACCTCCCACTATAACCTCATCTGGGGAGAGAATTAAGGGCTCCAGGATGGGTCAGGTTACACAGAGGTAGAGAACAGGATGACAGGATCCTGGTCATTTTTGCAGAACTACATGCAATAGAGATGATGGAGGGCCACAAGGCATTTTAGGCAACTAAGGCCCCAGACTCCAGTGCTGTGCTGGGGAGGTCAAGGTCTTTCACCACTGCTTCAGGCATGTCCAACTTCCTTGTCCTCCTAAGACTGGGGACACTAGTCACAAACACTACATTGGCCTGCTATGGTGACTTGGGTTCTTCACTCCACCCAGCTGAGCACACACATAACAGGGGAGTAAGATTGAGTGCCACAGTGTCCATATCAGAAGAAATCTCAGTGATTCAGAAAATGATGGGAACCAAAAAGTCATTTTCGAAAGATTAGGTGGTGGTGCCTCCTCCAACTGGATTCTGGTTGGACAATCTAGACAGTTCTTTCCCTCCAACAATTTTCATTGGCTATAGAAACAAGGACCTGTTGTGTTAGACCTGTGTGACAGGAGAATTGATACCCCACAAGGCAGAGTGCCAGGACCAATAAGTAATTCCAGTCACAGTGCTTAGAAGACTGGCCTCCTCCCTGGACCTTATGCTCGTTCCCCAGTGTGGGACTGCATTGTGTTTAAGCAGAACCTGCAACTGGCATTTCCAAAACAACTCTATTTCTTTCATGTGGAAATGGAGCCAGGAAAATATTGAGAATATGCCAAACTCAGTATAGTGTCATCAAGTGTTAGATCATGTGCCTAGCAAATGTGAATCCCTAACTTAAATTACCAGTAAGCCAGAGAAAGGATTTATTCTATCTTCATTTATTTATTTTCAGTACTCTTTCTTCTCTGATATTTTATAACCACCCTTTTCTTCTTTCCAAAAACTCATTGCAAGTTTCACAAAACTAGTGCATTTGTGATATATTCTGTAAACAACGTTCAATTTTCATTCTCTCATTCAGAATGAAAAAT